GGGCCACCGCTGACTCTGTACCCTCAACCCCTGAGGAAGATGGGGGCAAGAAGACCACGCTCCCCGCCTGTTCCCCCAGCCGCTTTTCTCCTCTTTCCTCCCTTTGTTCTCAGCTCCCCCGTCCCCTCAGCTCCAGACTTAGGGGAGGGGTTGCCACAGGCCTCCCTGTTTGAAGCCTGCCCTTGTCTGAGGTGCCGGTAATGGCCATGGTACCCCCTTTCTGGGCATCTGTTCTGGGTTTTAACCATTGTCTTGTTCTGTGATGGGGGTGGGGGGGCACATGCTGAGTCTCCCAAGGTTGCATCTGGAGGAGCCCCTGCTTCTCCAGCCTGGACCCCCAGCTTTGCCCAACACCAGCCCCTGCCCCAGCCTAAGTCCAAATGTTTACAGGGAGCCTCCTGCCCAGTTCCCCACCCCCCAGCCGCTTGGAGGCCCCAAAGGAAAAAGCACAAGAAGCGTGAGACGCCACCATTCCTGGAGACCACAGTCCACCTGCTCATTCTCGTAGCTTTTTAAAAAAATGAAAGTAAAGAAAAAAAAAAAAAACCGCAAATCTAGAAAACTTTTTAGAGAAAAACTATTTAAAACTATCAGATCCTGACCAGCAGCCCCCTCAGCCCCCCTTCCAAGTGACTCCGTGCCTTGAGTGTGTCTGCGTGTTTACACCCATCCCTCTGCTGGCCGCCCCTGTGTGAGCGGCACCCCTGCCCTGCCCTCTACAGAATTGGGTTCCAAGGGCTGTTCCAGACAACTGCCAACGTCACTGAGGGCCCTGCCCCAGCGGCCCTGGGCCCAGGCTCCATTAACCTAAATGTAGCTCCTTAGCGCTAACCTAGGAACCGCCGCTGCCTGCTGGGGGGCCACGCCCCTCATGCCCTCGTCCCAGGCCCGGGGCCTTCAGCGTTGAACACTTCCTTGCTTTTTTTCACATGTTTTATGGAATTGTTCACCTGGTTTGAAATAATAAAATGTAGAAAGAAAAAAAATACCGAGAACTTATGGGTATTCTCTCCCAGAGGCAGAGGCCCAGGCTAAGGTGTGCCAAAGTGATGGTGGTCCCAACCTCAGTCCTCAACCTGGGGCAGGGCCGTAACACTCAGCTCAGCTTTCCAGGCCGTCCTGGAGTCCAACGCTCTGGGTTTCACTTCTCCTACCTGGCCTAGGCAGCATACATGTGGGGCCTGTGTGTCCCCATCTTCCCAGCACTCTGCAGCCTTGGGTCTGGGGCAGCTGGGCAGGCTTCCTGGGGAGCTGTTCTAAGGTGCTCTTTTACACCAGAGCAGGAGGGGTGGCCAGCAAGCCTCTAGTGCAGACGGAAAAAGTAGCACTTCCAACTTAGGTACCAAGCCCCAGAGTTGCCAACGTCACACTGCCAGGTGGGCTGTGTGTAGTCCTGCCTTGCCTACACAGAAGACGAGTAGGGGCCTTGACATATTCAGAACATATTCAGAAAGGTCCCTGCTCCAGAGGGACCCTGCCAAACCTGAGGGGTAGTGACAGACAGCCACAGATCCATGTGATGGCTGCCACGTGCTGGGGCTGCATGTGGGTCAATGACTCTGAAGGTGGAGGGCTGTGAAGGTGGAGGCTGCGGGAAGGGCCCGTGCATTGCTGGGGAAGGGAACTGCAGGTGGCAAGGCCAGTGATGCTTCTGGGGCGGGCCTTGAGTGTCATCGAGGTACCTGGACCTTCTCCCAAGGGTGGCAGGGGCAGCCATGGCCTCAACGTATGGGGCGGACTTGGGGAAAGGCCGGCCTCGACTGGGTGGGGCTCCAGGGTTGGCGCCTCCGACTCCGGCCACCAGGGGGCACCGCCGCCCGCGCTGGGCCCCGCCGGGCTGGTCACGCAGACTGACGTCAGCGGGTCCCGCGGAGGCCGCTGGACATAAAGGCAGCTTTGTAAGGCGGCGACGGCTCCGCAGCCGCCCCGAGACAGAGCGGCCTGGGCAGAGGGGGCGGGCCGGGGTCGGCGCCGAAGAGGCGGGGAGGCAGGGTTGAGCCGGAGACCCTGGACCCCGCCCCCGCACACCTGCCAGTGTCTCGCGGCGTCGGCCCCGGGCACTGGCAGGAGATGAGAGGCTGCTGCCGCCCGGTCGGAAGGACATCGGCGCCCCCCAAGCCCGGTCCCCGCCCCAGTTCCTCGGGCCTTTCCTGCTGCCCCAGCCTGCGAGGGCCGACGACACGGAGAACAGGATTCTGCGCCCAAGCCAGGTCCCCGCCTTCCTTCAGAGGCCCAGGCCTGCACCCCGCTGGGCTGCAAATGCGCCGGCAGGAGCGCCAGAGCCCAGATGCCCGCCCAGCAGGAAGCGGGCGGGAGATGGTTTCTTCCTTCTGTCCTGAGGGGGACCCTGCACAGAGGGACCATTGAGGGGCTGGCATTGTCTGCCTAACTCACTAAGTGCCTCCCTCCCTGGGTGGGCCATGCGGAGCCCTGGCAGGATGGCCCTGGTTGCTGTCTTGGCAGTGAGTCTGGGTGGGATCCTGGGGGCAGGGCTTCCCTGAATGCAGACAGCTAGGCCTCCCTCCACCTGCCCCGGCCTCCCACCCAGGCTCGAATTTCCAGGGCATAAGGCTCCATTGTCCCAGCAGTGGCGGAGGTGGCCTGTCAATTCGGCCTTGTGTTTGGTGGTTGGGAAATTCCCAGCCATGGGGGGCTGGAGGCAGGGAGGGGCTGCCCAGGTGTCCTGCACCTCAACTGAAGGGACCCCATGAGATTGGCTCCTGAGTATCCCCCACTGCCTGGAGCTGTCCCAGGCTGGACCTCAGCCATTCATCAACCCTCAGGAGCGGCTGGGTGAGGACAGCCAGAGATTCAGCGCCCCTGGCCCTGCATCCCCAGAGCCCTCCAACCTAAGAAGCCCCATCCTTCTGTCTCCACCCATGGGCAGCTGCAGCTGTGAGGCCCAGGACCCTTAGCAGAACATGCAGAGCTGGGCAGGGACCCAAGCTCATATGCTCCTAGCGTGGGGTGGGTTGTCTCCAGCCTGTGGAGACCGCCATGAAGCTGATCTGCTTCCCAGAGGGCCTGGCCCACTTGAAATAATTGCTCTGGCTACTGATGTGGTGGGAACTTTGGTATTTTTAACCCATTTGGGGGGTACAGGAACAGCTGGGAAGAGAGAGGCAAGCTTTCAGGGTCAGAGAGGGCTGAGAGAGAAGAGTATAGGAAACCCTGTAAGGAGGAGCCAGGCAGGCCGCCTCAGTTCCCCAGCCCTAGACACAGCCCGTACCACCCTGTGTCCCAGCAGGTAGGTGCAGACCCAAATGCCAGTTGCAGAAGAGGGAAAGGGCCCTCTCCAGGATTAGAGCTAGGATCACTGAGGTGCAGACAGCTAGGCCTGGAAGAACTCCCACCATGTTCCAGGGAGCCCCATGGTTTCTTTCTTTTTTTTCTTTTTTTGAGACGGAGTTTCGCTCTTGTTACCCAGGCTGGAGTGCAAATGGCGCGATCTCGGCTCACCGCAACCTCTGCCTCCTGGGTTCAGGCAATTCTCCTGCCTCAGCCTCCTGAGTAGCTGGGATTACAGGCACGCACCACCATGCCCAGCTAATTTTTTGTAGTTTTAGTAGAGACGGGGTTTCACCATGTTGACCAGGATGGTCTCGATCTCTTGACCTCGTGATCCACCCGCCTCGGCCTCCCAAAGTGCTGGGATTACAGGCTTGAGCCACCGCGCCCGGCCCCGCCCCATGGTTTCTGATGTCAGGAAAACTTACTCCTCTCAGTTCCCCAGAATCATTTCACCCCACCGCACCCAAACTGAGTGCCAAACTAGTTTGGTGGTGAATACAAGCCCTGACTCCAGCTGCCTGGTCAGTGGCATGGCCAAACAAGTCCTAACAACCCTGGGAGTCAGGGAGGGGGCAAGGACAAGATTACAGCATTGCTTAGTTGGGTTCTGAATCTGGCCCCACATCCTAGAACTGACCCCAAACTCTGCGTCTGCTACCCTAAAAAGAGACCCTTGCTGGATGTAGTGGCTCATGTCTGTAATCCCAGCACTTTGGGAGGCCAAAGCAGGAGGATCACTTGAGGCCAGAAGTTTGAGACCAGCCTGGGCAACATAGCAAGACCCCATCTCTCTCTCTCTTTTTTTTTTTAGACCAAATCTTGCTGTCACCCATGCTGGAGTACAGTGGCATGATCTCGGCTCACTGCAACCTCTGCCTCCCAGGTTCAAGCAATTCTCTTGCCTCAGCCTCCTGAGTAGCTGAGATTACAGGCATGTACCAGCATGCCTGGCCAATTTTTGTATTTTGAGTAGAGATGGGGGTTTCACCATTTTGGCCAGGCTGGTCTTGAACTCCTGACCTTAGGTGATCTGCCCGCCTCAGTCTCCCAAAGTGCTGGGATTACAGGCTTGAGCCACCGAGCCAGGCCTGACCTCCAAAACAAAAGATCTTAGTGATCCTCATCCCTACCATGGACTCCCAGAGGGAAGGCAGCACCTCTCATCACCCAGGGGGCCAGCCTCCAGTCAGCTGGAATATGTATGCACTATGAGGCAGCAAATGTATCCATGCCTGGCAGCCACTCAGCCCTCAGTCACACAGTGATGGGTGCTAATATCCAAGAGAAGCAGAAGTCAAGGCCATGGGTCCTTTCATCCCCTTGCCTGAGATGCAGTCCCACAGCCCCTGGTGCTCTTGGTTGGGAGAAAAATCAGTTTGACATCTCGTCCCATTGCCTTCTGCTTTCTGACCTTACTGAGGTTAGGGTAGTCAAGGCCTGGGGGACTGGGACAGAGTTAAGGGGTGTCCATTCTCCATCCATGCCCTACCCCCATGGAAACTCAGCATGCCTAGGAAGGTGGAAGGGCTTGTGAAAAGAAATTTTTAATTTAAAAAATATTTAAAAGGCCGGGCGTGGTGGTTCACGCCTGTAATCCAAGCACTTTGGAGGCCAAGGTGGGTGGATCACCTGAGATCGGGAGCTCAAGACCAGCCTGACCAACATGGTGAAACCCTGTCTTTGTGAAAAAAAATTTTTTATTAAAAAAATTTTTTTTTTTTTAAAAAGAAAGGTGGAAGGGCTTCCTGTGGGCACACCATCTCCTGCCTCCCTGTGCCTGTCCTCTGCTGGGTCCTGGGGTCTCCAGTATTATAGCCCTTGCTGTGCTGCTTCCCCCACAGTGGGGAACCCAGAGCCCTGGCCAGAGGCTTGAACCTGGCACCACAGGGGTCTGGAGTTTCACAGAAAATGGGTGACAGCCAAGGTGGATCATGAACAGTGAGGAGTTGTCCAGCAGGTGACAAGGAGAAGGGTGTAAAAGGTGGCAGGCACAGCCCAAGCAAAGTCTTGGCAACAAAAGTGCTGACGCATCCCAGAAATGGGGCAGGTGGAGCACTGGAAGACTGGCCCCGCCAAGCCACAGAGTCATCCTGTGGGCCCAGCGTGGTGGCTCAGGCCTATAATCCCAATACGTTGGGAGGCTGAGGCAGGAGGATAACTTGAACCCAGGAGTTCAAGATCAGCCTGGGCAACATAGTGAGACCCCTATTTTTACAACAAAAATACAAAAATTAGCTGGTGGCATGTGCCTGTAGTCCCAGTTCCTCTGGAGGCTGAGGTGGGAGGATCACCTGAGCTCAGGAGGTCAAGGCTTCTGTGAGCCATGATCCTGCCACTGCATTCCAGCCTGGGTGACAAAGCAAGATCCTGTCTCAAAAAAAAAAAAAGGACGAAAAAGAGAGTGGCCCTGTGGCTAAGAGCCTGCAACCCCCTTAAGCTTAGCATGCTGAGTCAGGAGTGGGGGACAGGGTCCTTCAGAGGGGAGGCATGGGGAGACAAGTGGCAGAATGACCCCAGGGACACAGCCTGGGGGAGGGTAAAGGGGTTAGTGCTTGTCCTAAGACAGAAGGTAGGAGCTCTCAGGAGGGCAGGCTTAACAGTGCCTGGGGTGGGTTGGAGACTTGGGAAGTGAGAAGACTGAGGAGCCTCCACCCAGGGGAGGGAGGGAGATTTGAGTAGAGCCCTGGGCACAGGGGTCAGAGGGTTGAGGAAGTAATTGTACTGAGGTGGCCAGTCATGGTGACTCAGTTCTGTAATCTCAGCACTTTGAGAGGCCAAGACAGGAGGATTGCTTGAGCCCAGGAGTTCAAGACCAGCCTGGGCAACATGGCAAAAACCTCATCTCTACCAAAAAAAAAAAAATTAGCTAGGCATGGTGGCATGTGCCTGTAGTCCCAGCTACACGGGAGGTTGAGGTGGGAGGATCACTTGAACTCAGGAAGTCGAGGCTGCCATGAGCCATGATCCTGCCTGCCACTGCACTGCAGCCTGGTTGACAAAGCAAGATCCTGTCTCAAAAAAAAAAAAAAAAAAATACTGGGCTGAGGGGCACAACAAAAAGGGACAAGAGAGAAGCTGAGCTTGAGAAGGAGCCTTGTTCAGCTGGGATGGAAGAGGCAGCAGTGCAGGATTTCTGTGAGGCCCTCATAGGCCTGGGTGCCCAAGATGCCCAGAGCTGAGGTGGCAGCAAGAGTGCACACTTGTGGTACCCCCACTGTGTGCCAGACCTGCCTGGCCACCGTCTGCAGCTGCAGAGAAAATGGGAGGTGCAGACTCCAGCTAGGGCCACCAAGCGGCCCAGTGAGCCGACAGTGTGGGGATTCAACCCCGCCTCCCACTAGACTTACAAGGGGGTTGATTGCTGAGGCTGACTCCAGACTCCCCAGCCCTCCCCAGAGCATTCAGAGCCCCTCACCCAGCACTCCTGGGAGGCTCTTCCCTAGCCAGTTAGGAGAATGTAGTATTTATATGAATGTCTGTTCATGAGTGCAGTGTGCCCTCAGAGTCCACTTTCCAGCATTCCTGGCACAGCCCCTTCCACCCTGCCTGGCTCTGGAGGAGGGAGGGAGAGGGAGGCCCCGCCCCCAGCCCCCTGTCCTCCCACCCCTCCCTGCTGGGCAATGAGGAAAACAGGAGTGAGCGAAGAGCTGTGATGTGGCTGGTAGTGGGGGGGCTCCTGCATCCCAGAGGGGCTGACCTCAGCCTTGGAGGAATGTGCAGGAGGGAGGGGTTAGGGGTGGGGCGGGTGGGGGTAGGGCCACAGCCAAAGGCCCAGGGTTCTTGGTAGCCCCTCCCTCGGCACCTCCATCTCAGTTCTGACAGGGTCCTCAGAAGGGAAGGGGAACAGGCCAGGAGGGGAGGAGCTAATCTTTCAAAAAAGGTGGGCCAGGGTTCCCTGGAAATATGGAGACCAGGCTGGGGTGAGGACATGCCTGCAACCGTTTCCCCAGCAGATGCCCCTAGGGCAGGGCCTTATTGTCTGGGAAGTGAGGTCTCAGGTGATGCTCCTATGGCCGCCCACGCCTGCCCCCACCATTCCTAAGTCCTCTGGGCAGCATGACCTGCTACCCACGTGACCAAAACAAGGAAGAGTTATGATGTTGGAGCCACCGGCCCTGATGACTACAGCAGGTGTAAGTGAGGCGCCCAAGATCCCATCCAGCCCAGGCTGGGCACTGGGAGGGTTGGCACAGCCTTCCTCAGATGGACGTCCCACTCCAGCCGCACCACCCGGAGTCCAGGCAGGGGCAAAGGGGCAGGCCCAGTTGGTGGCCAGGGGTGGGGAGACAGGTGCTCAGATTTGGCACAACAATCCGGGTTTTCCAGAAGGAAAAGCCAAGACTATGATAGGCCATGCCACTGACAGGCAGCCCTAGAGCAAGAACCCAGGCAGGCCTCTGACCACTGAAGCGCCCTCAAAAGACATAGACCAAGGGCAGTAGTACAGGCAAGAAAAGGGACCCCAGCTGCCTCCCCTGGTTTGCCCCCTTCTGTTAAGACCCAGGCCCAGGCTGCCTGATTCCAGAATCCTCGAGGCCTTCCAGGCCCCAGTGTGACCCACAGGCAGTGGCCCTGCTCCTTGCTGGAGTGCTGGCCTCCATGGGGGCCCCTACCCATGGCCTGG